TCTTCCTAAGGCTGGGAGGAACTATCCCTATTAATAAAGTGCAGAAAACTTTCCTTTCAAGGAAGAGTTAATCTTGCAATGCAAAAGAAACCTGCATCTATAATGCTGGGTAGAGCTTAGGAGGCTCTATACTTTGATATATTAAACAAGAGGAAAGCCAACTGACTGGGGAGAAGAGCAACTAAAGGAAGGTAAGCGTAAATTTAAACGGGTAGGGTAAAGATCAGGAGGCTGCACACACAGGACAAGATACTGATAACCTCGCCCTCATTAAGCTCGATTACAGCCATCTTTTTTAAAATATATATGTGGTTCATATACACATTTTGTTGGCTTCTAAGGAAAGGTAAAATAGAGTCTCATAATATTCATGCCCATGTTACCAAGGTGAGTGGTAATAAGCAGCTTTCAAATAACAGGCCAAATACACTCAGGCTACTAAGTCTTATCTAGATCAAAGAGAGGGATTTTTATGGGTGATTTTTTTTATTGGATCAAATGCGTAGTAGAGAGAGGCTTTGACAAGCTTTCGAATGCAAAGCCTTCTGAGAAAAGAAGAAAGGCACAGCAATGATTAAAAACATTAAAAACTGGAGAAGAGAGAAATTCCCAGGGGCAGCAGACAAACAATTAACAGTAAAAGGCTGGCTTGATTAGTGGAAGATCAAGACCTTTCAAAAGAGACTGTTATTATCATCTGTAGCATGAAGTAGACTTTCAGGAATCGGACAGATTACAGTATAAAGCAAATTTCAGTGTTCGGTCCTTGGTTCTTAGTGTCCAGCCAGCTTGTGGGTTTCTGTTCCCGACGAGAGCTCCTTTTCACGGCGTTTTGTAAATTTCCCTTGAGCATGAGGATAGCAAAGTCCAAAAGGGAGAGGCTGTGCTGTGAAAAACGTGCTCCCACCAGTGCTTTTGTGGCTCTGTCCTTTGTATTTTTTCTGTGAGATTTCATTCTGGTGCATAGTTTCTATCTAGTTTCACCCATAGAGCAACCACGAGGGTACTGGGTGCACTGGATCAGATGCTCTGCATTGTGGGGAAAGGCATACGTAGGATCCATGGAAACTCCTACCTTTTTCCCCAGTGGGCTGGATGGGCAGGGCTCTGCCTGTCCAAGGGCTGGATCTCACCAGTGGTCCCAATCCGGCACTGGGGCTGGTGCAATGGGCAGCATCCAGCCATGCAGAGGGAGAGGGGGAGCAGCCCAGCTACAACCCAAACCTGGAGGGGAAAGGGGACATGGCTTGACCCACAGTGGGGCATGGCCTGGCCCCAACCCGGCCCTGTGGGAGGAGGGGGCATGGCCCAGTTCCACAGTGGAAAGAGGGCATGGCTTTGCCCCCATGGCCCAGCCCCCAAGCAGGCCTGAGAGAGGCATGGGGAGAAGAGGGCAGAGGAGGACATGGTCCAGCCCAGCACCAATCCAGATGTGTGTGTTGGGGGGGAAACAGGGACATACCCCAGCTGTGACCAGTAGTGCAGGGCTTAGGGTTTGGGAGTTTGACAGAGGGGAGGGTGACCATATTAATAGCCACCACTCTCCCACCACCAAATTCCCCACCCCATGGGGAGCCCTGCAGCCCAAATGTGATGGCTCCGTGGGCCGAAGGTTGAGTACACCTCTTTTAACCAGTTCAGCCGTGGTGCGGTAGGTGACCCCCGGGGGTGTGCGGTCACAGCGGTAGTTCTTTTTGTGTTGTAGCAGGTTAGCGTGGGGTATTTGAGTGGCTCTTTCAAAAATATATGGTCGATTTCTCTGCTGGAGTGTCCTTTTTGTATAAAGGCAGATTTCAGGTTGGTGACACGGGTGCCATGAGTACACTCCTCAAAGCAGGTGCTGTAGTATCTGAGGGCCTGACTGTAGATTACAGCTGTGCCTGCTTCTTTCCTCGGACTTGATGAAGAATGTTTGTCATTTGAAAACTTGTCTAAATCTAATCTCCCCCAATGCTGTTGCTCCAATAAAAGACACCACCCACAAAAAAATCCTTGCTTCTTGCATAAGTCCTGGACCATCACCGCTACTACATCACTCCAGCATTAATACAGAGACCTCCTTCTTAAGCTTCATCCTAAGGGCGAGGTGTGCAAGCCCCAACTGCCCTTCCAGTACTCTGTGTCACAGCTGGTAGTTATGCTCTTGCTATGGTACACCCTTTCAGTACGAATCTCACCACCCTTTGACATCATTGTCTGTCTACCTCTCACCACTTTTAAATGCCGCTAAATGGGTAGATGTGATATTTTTTATTAGACCAACTCAGTAGTTGGCAAAAAGTTCTTCGCAATCTCTCGGGCGCAATCACCCTTCTTCAGGCATAGAAAGTCTCTGCTGTTCTGAGACTCCAAGGAATGAAAGAAGCTAAAAGTGTGACGGGATATTAGTGAGAATGTAAATAGGTGGAAATTAGGAAAACAAAAGGTAGAGCAGGGAAGGGAGAGGGGGGAAAAAAAAATCCAAAAGGTGAGTAAGGGAGACTCTACAGAAGTAGATTTTCAAGGTAGAAAAAAGGCTGTCTGTGAAACAAGTAAATAGCTGGAAATTAGGAAGACAAAGGGTAGAAAAGGATGGGGAAGGAGGAAGGGGGGGAAGAAAAGTGTAAGAGGTCAGGGTCTGGCAGGTACCTGGTGAATCAGATGTCAGGCAGGTTGTAATGTGTCATAAATCCAATGTCTATATTAAGTCCATAGGCAGACAAGGTTCTTTGGGTAAATCTGATACCTTTTATTAGACTAATTCAAATAATTGGAAAAATTCTTCTTTGCAAGCTTTCAGGTTTAAATACCCTTCCTGTATTGAGTCCATGATTTTTTGTATCCAGTACATTTATGAAGTGCAGTTTGTAGGCTCATCTATGAAAGGTGTTTTGTAAGTTCACTTTTTCACAGACGGCATCTTTTCTACCTTGAAAATCTACAAATGTAGAGTCTCCCTTACCCATCTTTGGCTTCCCCCCCACCCCGGTCGTTTTTTCTCCCTCCCTTCCCTACCTTTTGTTTTCCTAATTTCCACCTATTTACATTCTCACTGACATCCTGTCACACTTTTAGCTTCTTTCATTACTTGGAGTCTCAGAACAGCAGAGACTTCCTATGCCTGAAGAAGGACGATTGCGCCCGAAAGCTTGCAAAGAACAGTTTTGCCAACTACTCACTTGATCTAATAAAAAATATTGCATCTACCCAAAGAACCTTGTCTGCCTATGTCCTTAGACCAACATGGCTACAACCAAAAACCCAGCTATATGGGTGTTTTTTTGCAGGTGTTCAGTATGATCACACCTGGCCTTGAATATGCACATAGGATTTGCTTTTATGAGTGTCCAGATCTCCTTCATTTTCCATGACACAGTAAAGTATTCTAAGTTGAAAATGTGTCACATGCAATTTTCATCTTTACTACACAGCACCCATGAAAATGCTGCAGGGGAGCAATTAAGAAGCGTAGGTTACAACTGTGGGAGCTACGTACCTTCCCAGCCCTGCAGGCAAGAGACTGAAAACCTGACACATGAGAGTTGATCTTGGCATGCATAGCCACAGGTGTCATAAATAGTTCAAAATAATCCAATCCTTTTATGACACAGCAAGCTTTATACTTGGTGACTGCCTACAGCAGCAAAGGGATGATGATGAAAATCAGGAGCAAAAGTTTGGAGAGAAGATGACAATCATGGAAATCATTTCCTCTTCTTCCCAAAAATGTACAGGAAAAGCAAGAAGCCCTGAAGTGGGGAGGCATTCTTACCTGCAGTGTCATTTTCACAAGTGACCGTGGGGGCTTGTTTTCAACATCTCTTACTGGGATTATTGGTTGAACTAGGCTGCTGCCTCGCTGCTCTTGCCAATTCTTCTCTCGGAGAGGCTCTCTCCAGGGTTTTGTGTTGGCCAGGGGTTCAAACCAGGATGGTCCAGGACCAGAAAAGGAACTGGATCTGTTCTCCTTCCTCGAGTCAGATTTTAAATCCTCAGCAGGA